AACTATCACTAGCAGTTGCAAAAGCTGATTTAGTAATTCTGACTCAAGATCATTGTATTTTTAGCTTCAAATAGAACACAAATTGTTGCAATATCCAAACAAAACACTTAAAAAAGTCATTCAAAAAATTTAATTGATATGATAAAATAAACTTCACATGACGATACAACATTTTTATACTTGAACAATGATCTTCATAAAAAAAATTTCTTTTTATTTAAACTTGAACATAATTTATAATTGACATATTACATTTATTATATAATTGAATTATCATAATTTATGTTGACAACATCACAAGTTTTTAACTTTATTTTAAATTTGATTGATTTTTGAGATGAATTGAGTTCATGAGCGTGATTCACAAATTTTTCACTTATACTTTCAATATCTATAACAGTGTATGCATGCTCAAAAAATAAAGTTTATCTTATTTTCACATTTGACACCTATTTAATTTCCCTCTGACAAGTATTGATTTAAACAATCTGTACTTTTCTATCGAAAAGAACATATAACTATAGATTTTCTTTTTTCTTTTTTGATCACTTTCATACATCATCTATCTGTTATGATGATGATTTTGACCTTCGCATAGACCGTATAGATCTTTCAATTGATTAGTACTTCAATTTACGCTTTTGAAATCAATTTGATTGATTGACAAGAGATTTGAAATCAACCCCACATAACCTACTCAATACAAATTGGATGGAATTGTCACCTCGCACATTAACACTACGTGTCATAATTGCAATCTAGTACTTTGAATTTTTTAACATTCCAAGTTTTTATTGAGCTTGCTACCATGTGCGATGCTCATTACTTGAATCTTTGTAAACCACTCTAAGCCAACATCCATGCCTAAAAAAATCTTTGTCTCTTCAACGATTAAAATGATTAAAAAATACATTGAATCTTCTAAAAAGAAATCATTGAGGCACTTGCCTAACTGATTGTCATTTGATATGAATATGATTTGGATTTTTTGATTGTAATCTTTTATTTTAAGTTCCATACATTTTTGAATCAATTTTATAAATTGCTTCTACAAACTCAAACATAGTTTCTATAGAAAATAATTGTATACATAAAACAACAATTGCAACAAGCCAATAAAATACGGCTTGTTGCAATCTCCATAGGATGTTTTGTAGATTGATATACCACTACAGAGGTTGTTTCAGTGAAATTGGTACATCACAACAGACGTTGTTTTAATCAAAATCGTAATAGCCTTACATTTTTCTACTATATTCATGTGAACTTTTCAAAACTCAATATTCATGAGATGTGAAATGTACTCTATTCCGTGTAGCTTCAACATAGTTCCTTTAATACATACTATTTTATCAAATATGGAAATATGAACATCATTGCACAAATGACAAATGCAATCTTAAATATCTCAAATAGTTTTTATGACTTTAAATCGCATTAATTTCATTCCAATTTATGCTACTTTATACAAATGGAGCAATATCATTTGTACACAAAAATCTTCTTTATATATAAATCAGCACATTCCATGTGATATGTCACTATGCATTAGTTAAATCTTTCAAAAAGTTTTCATAATTTTAACTTGCATTTATTCCAAATAATAGATGCTACTTTCTTTATATAAATAAAGCAATATTATCTGTACTAAAAAATCTCTTTTATATATAAATCAGCACATTCCATGTGATATGTCACTATATATTAGTTTGCATCATAATATTTTTTATTGAGCACATTTGACAAACTCATATCATCACCTACCTCAACAGATGATGCACAGCAAACGAAACGAACTTCCGGTTATACTTGAACCAAGAAAAGAAAAAAAAGCCAACATGGTCTTATTCTTTGTTTCCACACATCAAAACAATCACCCAACAAAAACAATCAATGTATAAAGAAACAATCAAGTGTAACAATCGCCAAATTAGTTACTTTCTGTTACAAAATGATCATTTCTTTCAAAACTTGTCACTTTAATATCAATTGTAATGATAAATGCACAAGGTAAAATCAAAACAAATTTTTGTATACATAACACAAACAAAAAAATACACGATGTATCATTCTTATATTACCTTAAACAAACAAGGTTTTTGCTAAAAAACCTGTAAGGTGTTTGATGCAACCCAGGTTTGTCATCCTATATGTACAAGGAAATAGATAATTGAGTTCAATTCTAATTTAGGAATACTTCTAGCTCAAGTTAGGTTAACTAGGATTTAACTCAAGACTTGAATTAATATTAACATTCAAAAATATGCTTCATTTATGCGGACACTTCTCCTTGTATCACATCAATAAATTTTCAATTTTTCATTCAATAAGATCAATGAATAAAAATTTACCTTCATTATTTAAAAAACTCAAAAAATCTGACCTCATAAACATACAATTCTACTCATAATAATTCTACATATTATTGAATTTCATAACCAATAACACTTCACATCATTAACATATCTAATAAAAATATACTTTTAGGATGTAAAATTTAACTTGATGCTATTTATTTATATATGAAAGGATAAATCATGCAATTCAAAATTTTCAAATTATTATTAGTCATTCATTTGTGTCTTAATTTAAACGTGTCAACAATTTTATTGCATTTAGAGAATTTATTTTTATCAAATACATCAATCATATTGAAAATTTCAACCTAAAATTCCTATGATTGTTCGGATTGGTCCAATAAACTACGCACTTCTAACATTATTCAATTGAGACTAAATTAAACCACATATTTCTGTGAATAAATAATATTGATATGAATGACAAGTATTACTTTACTCTTTGCATAGCTTTCAAAACTTTTTGAATTTATATGTTCAACTTTTTTTTAGATTTTTAGCTTTGTGTCTTGTCTGAATCTTAGACTTGAGTCTTTCAATTTTTAAAAGTTGTAAAATACTTGAACATTACATGTGATTGTAAATTCATACACATCTTGAATAATTTTTAATAAATTATACATTGTACAACTTGTCAAAACGTGAAATTTTTGGAGATTATTTCCACACATCATTATGCACATACTTAAATAAGATCTTGAAACTCTGAATTCCAACATAGTAGGTTTTTTTATTACTTTTGTCCATAATGCAATATTCACAAAACTTTGTCTTGTCACAAACTTATATTGACAAGGAGTGTTATTTACAAATCTTTCCTAGCCTAAAATGTCAAAAAAGCAACATCTTAACTCCATATTTAGTAAAATTGACTTCAACATAGATGATACGTAACTCAAGCGTGTATATATTATTATGCTTTGTATTCTTCACACAATATTATCATTTATTTTCACCTCAAGCACTTTCATTTAGAACTTCATTCAAGACTTTTTAAATTTAACATTTTAAAAGATATGAAACTTGACAAAAGAATAAATTTGACATTAAGTCAAGTTAAATTTAAATTTGATATGAGATTAAATCTTGAACTTTATCCAACGTTTGAATTTTAAAAAAATTAATATGTTCAGTTCTAAAGAGATAACTTTTTCCTTTACAAATTGAACCGTTTAATACTAAAAAATTGCAACTTTCTAACGTAACAAATCTAATAAAAAAATAATTATCCAGAATACATACATTACCAACATTACTTGATGATTTGCATGACATCGCAATACATTGGTAAAGCAATCATACTTCTTACATCAAATTCTTGATTCACTAAAAGTATATCTTACTACTTAGTATGGATTTTGATAATACCGATTTCAAATGAAAATACTATGAAAAATTGAATTTCATAAAACTTGATATAAAGTATCATTTAAACTCAATCAATTATCGTCTATTTATATCTTCAAAATTTTAATCTTTTATTCAAAAATATTTCATTAATATGAAGTGAAAAGATTTTTTTAGATAAATATTTTTTACTCGTTAAAAACTTTCATGATAAGATTTGACGATAAAAATGAATTTCGAAATTTATCACTAAATATTGTAACAAAAAGAGACTTTTTTTGTTACAATGTTCAGCTTTCAAATTAAAGCTGAACTTTCTGATTGCAGCAATACAATTAATCATTCATCTAGAGTGTTTGCAACAATACAAGAAATGATTCCACATCTTCATGCATATATCTAAGTTGTATGAAATATTAATTATGAGTTTTAACTATTCTTAGACATGATAAAAAATTTATATTTGTTTAAGTGAATTGTTATAAAATACTTTTTTAGAATTTACATCTAAATCGCTTGTCATGCTCTTTAATTCCGTGCAAAACATTGGAAATAAATAAAAGATATCCAAAAAATAAAGGACAGATATTATCATAATGAGATGTATGAACAATCATATTTACAACATCCAAATTATCTATAATAATGATTGTTGTCCTCAACATAGTAGATTGATATCGTTACACGATAATCGAATGGAAGTAAAAAGTCCACGTTAAAGTCTTGCATGAGTCTGTCTTTCATATCAACGAAGTGCACTGAATTCTTGCAATCATTGTTCCAAAAAAGGATTTTGACATGATTCTCTCCATTCATCCACATAGTATTTGCAAGACGTTCTGATATTATCAGAAATTGCAAAAAGAGACTTGTCTTTGTTCTTTTGTTAATGAAGATTCATGGAAATTGTCTCACGAAGCGACAATTGTCGCTTCATGAGATGAGACAGAAATGTCACTTTTTTATGTGGATGCATTTACTCAATCTTTTTTATCCTTGTGCTTAGTGGCGTTATTTATTTCATTTCATATTTATTTCATCAGCATTTTGACAGGTTCTTGTGAGTTAACCCGTAATGAGAGAAGGAGAACGCAGCGCCGCCACATGAAGCAATCGTCCCAAGAATGAAGCAGCTGGTACTTACTAGCCTACAGTGAAAGGCAGAGGCCCCGTTTACCCAGTCTCAAGCTCTACCAAAAACCAAAAAGCCACGAAGAGATATGAATAACATGATGTCGACGTTCTGATGCACGTGAGGGTCCCTATTCTTTGTATTTGTGTTCTTCACTGCGAGATTGATGGTTGTCACTTCGCACTTCGCGTCTAGCCTCCTTCATTTCTTAGCACATTGTGGCAGAATGTTGGAAGAAGGGCGCTGTCTTCATAGCAGCCTAGGTTCCAGATCGACTCGCGACGCGAGTTGTATCCGATCGGAAATCAGATGGACGCATGACGATTTGCTGAAGTCGTGCATGCGGTGTTTGTGTATGGATTGTATCGATGTAGTTTCAACTTTTGATGTCCTGGACAGGAGTGGTGGAAGTTTCCATCGCGGCCCGCGAAAGTCCTTCGATTAGTACACGAACTTTCTTCTCAGACTCGATTGTTTTTGTTGTTGTTTGACGGATGGACGACAGCGTGCAGAGGATGTAAGTCACCGGAGCTTCTTAAACCGGAGAAGACATTTGCTAAAATCGAGTGGAGGAAATCATATACCGGAATTAAATCGAAAGCAGAATCATGGCTGCACACGCAGCTGTTGCCCGGCTAAGGGCTTGTGGGTCTTTTTCTTGCCGCGCTCAACTCTGTTCGACACGTAGAGGAGTTGCTGTCGTGAGCACTCGCGGAAATATGAATTATCCCTTCTTTCCCTCGGCTCAACTCTCCATGGAAACGCTAAAAAATGCGACGGGAGGAAGTTCTGGAAAAGACAGCAATCAAGGATGCTATGATCATGCTGTAGCTCTGCTTGCAAGAGCTCCTGTCTTGCCTAAGCTAGTGGTTGTTGACTTGGACTACACCGTCTGGCCTTCATACTGGTACCTTCTGTTACAGGCTTTTTCTTTTCTTTGTTGGAAATTCTCTTGCCCTTACAAGTTCTCAGCCTGTGGACGGAGGTTGTCAAGTAAACTGTCATGTAACTGATTTGTCATTGTTTTGTGCTGCTCAACAAAGTAACTGGGAATACTCGTGGCTGATGCCAATGAACCCCAGGCTTTCGGTTTCTCTACATAGAACGCCTCCTTGCAAGTGAATTGGGTTTACTACTTCTGAAATGTCTCATAATCCAGTTAGTCTTAGCTCCACCGTTGAGTTTCATTAAGTTTGTTACGCCAAGCTATGCCGTTGTAGCCGTACGGCTACTGACAGTTGAATTTCTGAGAGAACAGAATGCACAACTGCTCCTCCTAGGGTCGCTCTAGTGCGATGCTGTGTGCAAGCTAAACCTTTCTGGACGGGAGCTTTACCGTGATACACAGCTGGCAGAGGTTATACGCCTTCCCGGATGACTGCCTCCCTTCACTACATTACCGTAATGTGGATTTGCAGTTGATTGATTGTTCTTTCATACCTTATTTTTAGGTACATCAAATTAGATCTGATGGAATAAGCCTTTCCTTTAAAAGGGTCCATATTACTGACTTCCTACCAAATTGCAACTTTGGCATTACCGGAAGATCCTTTTGCTGTACAAGGAGTTTGTTGTGAGGAGAATGCACCGAGAATGTGAATTAGACCAGCCTGCGACATGTTAAGTTGCTTCAAAACGTTTTGCTTGATCCGACGGAGATCTAAATAACAGCGTCTCGGTCATCACCATTCATCCAGTAATTATCACTCACTTCTGCTTTTGCAGTCAATACAAGACCCTTATGGATTCTCCAACTGTCTACCCAGAAGCAGTGGACGTAATCAAAGCTTTAGCAGCCAGCCGAGTCACTTTAGCTGTGGCTTCTCGCACACCTGCTTTGGCAGTTGCTATGCACTTCTTGGAAAAACTCTCGATAGTTGACTACTTCTCCTACTTGGTGAGATAAAAAACATCACTTCTTCCTACTGGCTCATTAGTTGGTTCCAGTCTGCTAGTAGCCATGTAGTCTTTAAATTTCTAGACTGTGAATCTCTGTCCTGTTTAGTGAAACTCACTGTTAATACAGGGCAGTTTCTGTTCTCTAATTTGTGTTGAGATTTTATTCTCACATATAGTTTGATACTATTGGTTTAGTAACCGTTGATTCTTGTTGTAACTTTGGAGTTCTCACATTCATAGCGATGGCATATATATGTATGTGTACGTTGCAGAGGTTCTTTGCTTCTGAAGACTGGGTGGACTAGTTTTAGTAAGAGGGTCTCATTTCTTTTGAAGTCGTGCGCTTAAGGTATCTTGACTCGATATACAATGTTCCAGGAAATATATTTCACCATTTTTGCAAAAACAAAGCACTTTACTGCTTTGAAGGATAAAACAGGCTTTTCTTACGAGTCCATGCTCTTCTTTGATGATGAAGCAAAGAACCTCACTTCTGTAAGTCCCTCACCCAGCTCATATTCTTCATCCTCTCCTAGTACTGTACAGGCTTGCATCTCAGAGTTTTTTTGTCCTGCGGAGGTCTTTGCTTCTTGTCCAGATTAAGTCGTGGCTGAGTAAGATATTTTGGATTTACGTGGAAAGTGAGGTTTGCACCTTTGTTTCGGCTGTTGCTTAAGAACTACGTTTCCTCCTGGATCGTGATGTAGTTCTGATGGGATGTCACTGTCATGGGTGCATTGTGTTTAGGCTCGCAAACTTGGTGTTAATGCAATCTTAGTTGGAGAAGGTTTGAACTTGAAAGCTCTTGAAGAAGGGCTTGTTCTTCTGGCTTCAAAAGGATAGTATGTCAACGACGGAGTAACCTTTCTGAGGGTTTCAAGAGATCTAAGCTTACTAAAAGGGACATATTCAAGTCGCAACCTTTCTGAGGGTTTCAAGAGATCCAAGCTTACTAAAAGGGACATATTCAAGTCGCGTGCGCTCCGGAGACGTGTCATTTTCAAGTGGCCCTTGGTTTCCTCTCTTGAATTAGAATACAGGGAGAGACAACTCTTCAAAGCAATGACCTCAATTTATTTGCGACAGGTGAGAATTGCGGAGGTTTTATTACCTTTAAATTATTGCTTTTAAGATGTCTAGCCTGAAATCTTGGTTCTTATTCAGGTACAAAATGCTGTTAGTCTGACTGTTAATGGAGGGTTAGAATTCAACCATGCTGGTTGGTGGATGACGTTCGTGTTAGTTCACTTAGTTGTGAATGTCATTTCAGAATGCCCATTGACGTGATCCATTCGGAAAGACACGAAATTTTGGTTGTTGTCATCCTTGCTGCGCTTCCTGGTCTTATCTATGGGTAAGCTGATGGAGGTGTGTTTGAATGTTTGCCCTGAATGTGTATGAACTTCTACATTTCTTTCTTGGATTCTGAAATGTCGTTATATCGTGGCAGTAACCAACTTACGAACTATGCAAACGAAAGCTGGAAATTTTTTCCTGGAGTTAGCATATCTTCGTTGATCTACGCCAGCAATGTCATTAATAATCTGTCCTGAGAACCAACGTAATTGTAGTAGTGTGCAAAGACTAGTTTCCAACCTTCTAAATATCGACTACAAGATGTACGCCATGTCACTGTCTACATTTATGAATACGTATAGATTTGCATATCTGTAACGAGAATGACATTAGATAATAAGTATACACTATCGACCATGAGTTTAAAGTGCGAGCAGTATTTGTGCCTGTCGAACATACCTCTCACGATATCGAATGAATGAGCGCCGCACAAGTTAAAGTGAACGGGTAGTTTGACATCCACACTCATAAATTACGAAAAAGAGAGCTAGTTGGCTGCTTATATGAGTTATCTTTGTGTTGTCCCAATTTAGTTACAGGTGGAGTTTCAGAAATGATGCTATTTCAGCATCGTTACCACTATCAGAGCGTGGCTCGGTTATGAGGCAAATACTCTGTGGCGTCTACTGTAAACTTAAGTCGATCGCTCTCCGGATAGGGCATATAGCCTTCATTTAAGATCTCGCGACTTACTCTGTTAAGAATTGTTGCTTTCAAAGGTGCCAGGATGTTTACATGTCCGTGTATCTAACATCACATTGTACTCACGGGTGGTTCGATCTGTTTTATGGGACCATAACATGAGCTTCAACATAACCGGAGTTTACTTCTAAACGCGGATGATGTCATTTTCATGTTTACGTCTCTTAGACCGATTGTCAACTTGTGTGGGATATCTATAATAAATTGAAACATGCTCGAAGCACGTCGTAGATTGTAGATCGCACCCCGAAGCTCATTATCGGAGCTCATTATGGTGGACACACCCGCCTGATGCGTTAAAACTGTTTACACAATATTCCTAGAGGACGGGAATCAACACCGATTATGCCAGGCTTGAATCCAGTGGTAATATGGACACATGATTATTTAGGCTATTGAGGAAGTGTTATGTTCTAAACATGCTGACAAGTTTTTCTCCTTTGCTGCTAAAATTTTACAGATTTATGGACAAAAGCGATGAAGAGTGATTTTATTTGTTTTGTTTATTGTAGAACCTTATTAGACAACACATTTGATTATTTCAGCTGACTGACATTATGTAATCAATATAAATCATGTTAATCGCAGGAGTTTTATCCACATAAGTTAGATATCATTCGATAGTGTAGTATTATTTCATTGAGATAATATACTGAATAAACCCACGTTAGTCTTGATGGGGTCAATACCTTTTCTTATCCAGTTGGCCCCGACGTTTTTTCCGTTCAGTGATCTGATAAAGAGTAAATCTCTAGTCATGTGAGGCGGATGACGGAGAGTTAATCGCCAGTCGATTTTATCCCGAGAACATGACAAAAGTTATAACAACTGTTTCCCAAAGTAGTCGCCGCTGTGAAGAGCAGTACATTCGCCTTGAGATTCAACTTCTATATTCTCCAATTTGACTCTATCGGGAACCGAGATTCGAAACTGTCTGATGTACCCAAACCTTTACCCAAACCTTTGATATAGGGCTTGCGGATTGGAGTTTCCTCCTAGCTCCACAGCCTACTGCATTCTCGACAAGCACAGTTGTCACGAAGCACAGGGTTTCGTAAAATCTTCCATGTGGACACATGAAATAAATTGACCGAATCGAAATGGGTCCATTCTACAGTGTAATTTAATGTGGGCATTGGGGTCTCACCATAGGTTGCGTGGATCGCCTCGATTGAGACAATCTTTCAGAAGATTGTCCACTGGCGAACTGTTAGATTTCATTGGAACAGCCGTCGATACGTAACATGCAGGGAACAAAAGAAAGCAACCTCACACGTATTTGATCCCGAGGACAGGGGTTTTAACATTTGTTATGTGCGTAGGAACCTTCCAAATCACGTGTTCGCAGATGATATGTCAAGTCTGTAAATATCAGCCTTGACGATGTGCTTATATCGAACATTCCAAAAATCGGCACGCGAGAACTGAAACCTCGGCACTGCATTGAAGTTTGGAAGCTCTTCCACATGAAAGAGAAACAGGTGCGGGTCGTCGTCAGGTATGAACTGCATGCAAACCTTTAAATTGTACAGACTAGATTCAAGAACAGGGTGCTGGAACCTGCCGTCATTTCATCACATCGATACTCTACGTAGAATTGACAACATAAATTCTCTCGTATATGACAGTACGTATTCGAGCATTTGTGGTCGGAAGACACTTTTTAGATATCCGAGGCGAAGATATGGTTTTAATGCTTTATAAGAGAAACAGATCCGAAAAGTGCGTGATAGGGCCGCTGTCCCAGTTCCAGTGCTTGACATCTGTTTGATACGCGACAGCACGAAAAGTCTGATGCTTACGCTTAACGTATTGTGGCAGATCGTACCCGGATTTTGGTTGGTGCCCCACTCACAGCTACCCCATACTGCGCAAATCGCTCCACAGTATTCGTTCCGAACTCTGTAATCAATGTTCAAACGCTGCAACAAACCTAGCTGCGACAGTAGCCCGTCTTCCCAGGTGTTCATTGCATCACATTATATCTGGAACCTGCTCCAGGTGGTCCCCCACGGGCCTGTGATATGCCGCAATGACACTACACCTTTTCGTGTTTACGGCTGAAAAGCCTACTCCGCTTCGTTTCCTACTCTCGATGTTATCGATGCTCTGTACGAATGAACATGCACAGCCACATTACGGAGTATACTGGAATTTGTAAAGACAAGTTCGCGTTCTCTGCTCGCGTGATTGCAAGGACGTGGACGGTGCTCTGCCTACCTACTGCCCTGTAGCGAGCGGATGCTCTCGGGAGAAGAATTTAGTGCGTGACCTAGGAAACTGAACCAGTAAAAGTTAGGCAGAAGACCAACAAGACACTCTGCACAACGTGAACAAACGTGGCCTACAACTGAACTCGAGTTCGTATCCACGGTTCAAATGTGAAACGATAATCCGGATTACAATATCGTTCAAAGCTATTCAAAAATGGTCCTTTGGATGCAAGTACATGCTGCCCAACACTTTCACTGAGCAAAAAATGTACCATTATACATCCCAGTTTCTGTGCGGCATGGAATAATGGTAGCTTCATGATTTTGTTATTTACAACAAAGACCGGAGTGATTCTAATGGACGAGTGAAGTCCAAAGCTGAAGGATGCCCGTATAATTCATGTCCTATGAATTCCTTGCCGCGTCAAATTGATAGAAAGTGAACATTACTTCCAGAAAACATGACTGTCATCGCTGTACACTCTGCAACAAATAACTAGGCTATTAAGCTGTGGGACTCGAGCTGACACCAGCAGCATCATCATCATCCTCCGATTCAAGAACTTCCTCCACCCCTTTCACCTGAAACAATAGAGAAGGACGTTCCTTGTCAAGCAGGCAGGTTACCAATAAATAATAGAGTTCACTTCATGATGCACTCTCTTCTATCCTGCCAGATGCAAACCAGGCTACCATCCTAATCGGAGAAAATATCCTGTCATTTCAGAAATAATATCTATGCTGAGCGCACCTCGCTGTTGAGAGAGCGCAAATGGCATTTACTAGGCATGAACATAATAATCTGAACGTGGATAGACTTATTCAGATCAATTCATCTTTCAAACAAATAAACAATACTCTTGTTATCATCGGAAATTCTATCAATAAGCAGAAAAATGAAGACACTCACTTCTGGGACATAATGCATCAACATGTTCTCGATTCCATTTTTCAGAGTGACGGCAGAACTTGGGCATCCGCTGCATGCTCCTTGCATCTTCAGCTTCACAATACCTGTCTCCCTGTGACATCATTTTTCACATTTGAGTACTTGAATGAAATTTGACCCGTTAATGCAGTACCTCATAACGTGTCTAATCTATTTCTTATTACTGCTTCGAGTACTGAAGTATGCTGTAAATATTGCATCAGAGGAGCACACTCACTCGTCAAATCCATGGAACTCAATATCACCACCATCATCTTGTACAGCTGGCCTGACTCGAGTTTCTAGCAACTCCTTAATCATAGCAACTGTCTCATCATCATCCTGTTATCAAAAGGACGGTTCTCATCATCACCCTGTTATCACAATAAAATACATCAACCTAAAGACTAGTACATATAAACTTTATTCTTCAACCCTAAACTGCACCATGACGATCATCTTCACTTCAGAGGTAGTGTCAGTCCATGATTCTCTGAAGCATTTCAGATGCTCTTACTATTTTAGGTTACTGATCAAATTGTTCAGCAAAACTTCGACAAACTGTATTGCAGCTTTACCTCATGAATTGCGGTGTCTGATGCTGCTGGCTTTCGCGCATCATAGAATAAGGGTTCTTTCGATGTGTAGAAATCCATAATAGCGGCAAATATTTCTGGTTTTAGAATGTCCCAAGACATATCATCTATTTTCGTCACACTCACAAAATCTGCTCCAAAAAATACACGCGTAACACCTGCATCAAAATGCATTATCAAGTTTCTAAGTCTGCAATGACTTACCAACACATCAGGCAAAAAGTTTGGTTTCCTTCCTTGATCTGCCTGGCTGGAAAGCTTCTACAAATCTATATGTAAGACCAGAAGTTTCCGCAGCCTACGAAGCGGCTTGGCTACCATTCAGTCCTGGTGATTCCACACCTCACAAAGTAATAGTTGGCAGGCCAACTTGATAAGTCTTAATCACTCAAAGCTGTTTTTTTTTAATCACAATGGGTACGCAGTAGAGACTTTCTTACAAAAATTCTGGCGACATACTAAGAGAGCGATAAGATAGACATATAAGGTGTAATTTGGTTGTTTGATTACAAGAATCATGGTTTCGTGATGGATCAAGTGTGCCTTGCTATCTTCCAAACGGAAAGCATGTGAATGTAATATGTCTGCAGGTTAAATTGATCAGACATCAAAACATTGATTGCAGGGTGTAGGAGCTCACCATCTATCCTGAACAGAGCTTTCGCGAGGGGAGATCCCATAGCCACGCGAGCATTTGGAAAATCCGAACTGCCAACTTCCATGACAGGCTTTCCAGGAAAGAACATTAAAGATGATGGATTTGGAGTACTCTGCGTCTGAATGAACATGCTCCTCCGTTGCATAGCTGAAAAAATGTGGACAATATTTTCAAACTAATGAGATTCTACTCTTTCACAAGTGCCCCATCTTATGTATCATTTTATCATAAACCGCAACCGCAATAAGGAAAAGGAACGATTCATCTATGTCAAGCTGAAAATCGAGACCCGAATGAATGGGCAATTAATGTGATTGACAGGGTATCCTTGCCCAGAATTCAGGACCAGAAGACATGCCAAGCTAATTGTGGATTCCAATCCAGGGAAGCTGCCTACAACTTGCACGTAGGGTTCCCAGAGCATCATAGATCTTGGGGAAAACGAAAATGGTATATTCGCTCAAAATTTATAAATGAATTGACCGCTTGCTCTCACCTTCAAAGGGATGGCCCGGTAAAACAAACGATGTTGATGGCAGTGCTATTCCCTGCAAAGCGCCATCTCGCGATACCGTAAAACCCAGGCGAGCCCTATCAGTTCTACCAGTCCAGCTGGACGAAAATCTAGGTCGTGAAATGGCCTCCTGAGCTCCAGATCGTCTAACCAAAACCTTCGTCAGGACGCCCCCCAGTGACCGGATAGTCCTGGACTTAGACATGATCACATGCAGATCAATTCTGGTTCTCCAACGCAATACAAAACCTGCCAGGTCCTCGAGAAAGCAAGCAATCAGGCAGGCATCCTTCAAAACCCCTAACCACGCCCGAATTAATAAGAAGAGCCCAGCGCATCCAGCAATCGGATAAATCCTCGTTCGCGTGCGCAGTGACAGCAATTTCGCAGAGTGAAATCAAATCAGAACGCCTCCGTCCGCTCCTCTCACTCTGGCTCGCTCTCGTCTCGGCCCAGGAATCTTCCTCCGCTCGCTAACCAGTCAAGACCAGGTGGTATATTCGTCGTCTACACGCTGTCCTTGAAGCTTCCTTTAAGAGGGACATTCCTGCCGAAAATAGCATGAGAACTGGCTGGTTACCCAAATGAGAGGGCGCACTAATGTAATTATCACGGTAACCCAGGTTACTCAAGTATCTGCATCTCGGTAACCCCAACAGAGGGCGAGGGCATAGTTGGGTGTTGTCAGACTTCGTACGAACACAGGCCGGAAAGGACTTGGTCCTCCGATGCACATTTCAGGACTTCAGAAGGAACGGATTGGAGTACGAACAAGAATAAGGAATCTGACGTTATCTTTGGACGTAAGGGAGGACTGGAGCTGTACCTAGCCAGCCATGAATGGGTAGCAGTTGGCCCACAGCGGCATCATGTTTTTACCGAAGGGAAGTAGTGACGCCGATAATATATAGATAAGTTAGCCGAGATCCGCACCATGTAGTCAGTCTGACACGACTCAAGACCATTAGTGTTTCTGTTTTTCTTTCGCTACTTTTTGGTGTGGGTGTTGTTGTGGCTGGCTACTGGGTCGTACTAGAAATCGTTTGGAGACTGTCAAAGAACAAGTTCTGGGTGGATGGATGGCTGGACCGGGCATCCTTGCGACTTGATTGAGAAGACCCGAAGTCAAGTAGGATGACCTTAAACCCTTCGGGCAATCATGATGTTTTCGCATTGAACCAATATCCTGCACCTAGGGCACTTGGCCTTCTATGATTGATAAAGAAATGAGTCCTCTGTGATATTAAGCATCACAGATTCACACATATCACCTGTGCTGCCACTGTATCAGCATATTTTATTCGTACATCTTATTATTTTTTCCGCATAGATTTCCGGTCGTTTAGGATGTCCGTGAGCGGTCAGCCTGATCGTTCGTACTATACTTTCAGATTCAGTATCAAGAGTATATTCTGCAGAACAAGTACAACAGAATCACCCCCAACTTTGAAACCATGGGGATCTCGACTAAGCACGCGTCAGTAGAATCAAAAGCGAACCCATAAAGATCTACCGTTTAGGATCAACTGATTAAAAACAAATTGGACTTCCATGGAGGTCATCAGAAGCAAAAGAGCCTCCTACTATTGGCTTCTGGAATATCTTTACCTGTCTCTGTCTCACGTTTTTTCCCTCCAACGTGACTCCACCTGTTTTATTTTCCCCTTTTCCCTATCGTCCAGTAAGCGACTAGTTACTCGCACCCAACAACTATGGCTTTTGAACTCTTACACATGATGTCTTGGGATGAAGTATAATAAATACAATAGGCTTATTTGCACTCTTGCTCAGTGTCGCAGAATTGATGATATTAATACATAATTCTTGCATTACCTTGACGACCACAATGCCCTCCACCCTTCCCACCGAATTGATATATGAATTGATATTTCTGCTTGTGTGTTTATCTGAGTTTGGATGGGGTGTTTTAATTTTCTTCTATACCGTCGCTCTCACACCACGTGATCTTTTGAATAAACAAACATTTTATTTCAAAGGTAGGCTTGTAAATGAGGGGTACTTTAAATTCTAGGGGGGGTTCTGTGGAAAAATTGGTCTCAAGAAGCTCCTAACCAAGGTGCCACAAAACAACCATGCATGAGACATTTAACTCTTGTCTAATTTTAGATCGTATGGAATTGCATAGAAGAAAAAAATTGTCAAAACGAGGTTTGTGAATGCCTCTGCAACACTTGCGTTCCTCAGCAGCATGTCTGCCAACGAAAAACGTTAATCAAATTCGTGACGGCTGTTTGTAACATTGAATAACTGTAGAATTTCTGATTGGAGTATATTGAGATGTCTTGAGATTGGAATCTGGAAAACTTAAGTTTCTGGAATTTTCTTACAATGGTGAGTACTTAAATCAGTGTTAAATTTTTGATCATAAAGAAAGTGTGATTTGAATAAACTTTCATATATAACAATGTTGGAGTCTTCAGGTTTTCACTTATATATCAAGAGAGTTTTTAATTTTATGTAATTTGTACTTGAAAAAAAATTTTGATACCAATTGCTATTAAAAGTATACATTATCTGTAAAAATCACTGCGAATTACAAAAAAGAATCTATTTTTTTAAGCAATTAATTGAATTTGCTACCACTTTATTATTTTGGATAGCTATTTTTAATTTTTCATAATAAATATAAAATATTATTTTCCAACTGATGTTTGAACCATACTATGTTCCATTAAGTTGTCTTTGATAATAGATTTAACTTTGCTAAATAGTAGTATGAATTTTGCTAATAATATTTCTTATAATATTTTTAATTCAAGATAATCACACAAAACAGTATAATGTGTTCTCATACTTTAATGCAACTTCATGCATTCGGAGCCAAGATTTCATGATGTTGTGAATTATTTCTACAAAGATAGACATTAAAAACAAACCGTTATAGAAGAACATGTACAATAATCATGTACAAATGATTGAATGTTCTTAAAAATCATTTTTATGATGTAATTTAGATTTTTCAAGCATTAATACAACAAGTTGAAATCTTTGTTCTACTTTTTGCCTACAAAAATTAATGAAAAAAGTTGCAAATCACAGGTTTTTTATTTTAATATTTTTTATTAAAATTATTTCAATGAAATGAATATAATCAATAATAATTATCAAATCTACATTTTCTTGCATGAAGTAAATTACATTTTTGACACAAATATTGATTTCATAACTCAAGGGGTCATTAATATTTTGGCTAAAATTGATTTATAAAATAAGTAACCTTTAAAAAATTGAATTTTTTATAATAATAATGGAATTATAATTTAAACAGGATTTTGAAGCTGATTTATAATATTTTAATAAAATTACTAATAAGAAAATATTGTTTATTTATAAACAATAATACGAAATGATATTCTTATTTTACTATAAATATTTTACAATTTTATTTTTTTAATGACATAAAAGATAACTGATAAAGTTATCTTAATAAGTATTTATACAAAGAAATTTATTTATTTGATAATCATATATTCATTCGACATGATAATTTATATGTTGTAGAAATCCATGTTTAATCTACAAAACTTGTGCAATTTGGTAGTACAAAATGATTTAAATAGTGATTTTGCATCAAGTAAAATTTCATCAATTATATATCTCACATAAAAAATAAACGTTTCCTTGTCAAATCTCTTTTCATGATATCTAAGTGTTTTATGTTGTATAGGTTAAATTATTTAGACTATAATGCATATGATACATATAAAGAATGATAGATTAACAATTTATGATTATATATATATATATATATATATATGCTTTAGTTGTAAATAATCATGATCAAGTTATCATATATTGATATGATAACTTGATTCATAGTTATTTACAACTAATGCATAGAAAACAGTATTACATATATGATAGTCATGAGTTAAAAAATAAATCAATTTTGCATCACAGCAATACAGATCTTTAGATTCTGCCATGTTAATCTTGCCGAACACACATTGAAATGTTTATTTTTATTTATATATTTTTTTTTCTTTAAAAAAAATTTATGGGCATCCAAATCCAATAACTGTTTTGACTTAATCATATCTTTCATCTTGATACACACTTCAAGTGTTTTCTACATATGTTGATGTGACATGGACTTTTATATTAATAAGCATAATTCAAAAAAATTCTAGATTAATGGAATTTAAAACATTATTATTAAACTTCTTAATGAATGTACATAGATCGAACACAGTCTATTTGCTTCCTTGTGCTTGTACATACATAACATTTACATTTCTGTATAGTTTGTTCTATCAATGTTCTATCTATTTACAAATCGACTTCTTTCAACAGTTTTTTCCAAAATCAACTTGCTGGCTCGTGCAAGTTTTTTCTTCAAAAGAGATATAGACAACTGTTGTTACTACATTTATCTATTTGATTCATAATTAGATTAAATAGATCTAACGATGGTGACAAGTGACAAAGTGGAGAGGGCGGGAGAAGTAGCAACCGCCTATCAGTACGAGGCAATAGATTTCAAGAATGCTAATTTTATGAGCTGTCCTGTATCCAATACACATGTCTCTTCTATGTCTGAGCAATGTTTACCATGTTCACCAATTATTGCGAATAGACAACAACAATCTTTACACATATCCGCAGAAAAAAATGCACATATTAAACAAATTGTAGCATATTTCAATGCATGTGAAAAAACTTTGTTGTAGTTCGCATATTTTGGATGTGAAATCAATGACCATCAAAATAGCTTTGAAATATGTTTTTTTTATCCATTGGATTTTCTTTGATTTTATCCATCCACTTATAATCAATTGAAGGTTGACTTCTTTAAAAGCTTCACTAGCTTTCACATTGTGTTATCTATCAATCATTCCATGTCAAGTTCCATAATATATTGACTAAGATCTAAACAATTATATACAAACAAGATTATTCCTTTTTAAGCATCATTGCATTGTCACAAATAAATTTCATTTCAATATGGTGATCTTTAGAAATAGACATATTAATTCATATTTTCTATAGCTTTGAAATTTCTAATAATTAAATTCAATGATCTCTTAGCAATTTTTTTTTCTGATTTTAATAGACATTTTGTGTTGATCTCTATCGTTTAATGTAGTATTTGGCGTTTATGAATAATTTTTGGTTTTTCCAAATTCCACTTTATAACCATATGCTACGTATGTATCAAAACTTTTAATGTGTCACAATTTCAAATTTACAATTATTCATCTTGTTTGCAATAGCATTGACGAATGAAAATTTGTATATTATAGATACGTAAAGTCTAAGGTTTATTTTTTTAATTATATAGATTTATCAAGATAATATATTTTTTTAACAAAAATCATAAACTTTTATATTACATGTCATTAGCATATTATTAAAAACATTTTTAGATGTAATATTTGATTGATTCAAATTTATTAGGTATAATAATATAAGCCATAAATTCAAATATTTTTCAATAATCCCAATCAACCGCTATTGAAGACTCAATTCAAACAATGTCAAGAAATTAATTGAACTGGAAGGAAAAAGTTATATCAAATCTATAACATTCTTAATAATTTTAACTCAAAATTTTATGATAAGCCCTATTTGTTCAGTCAATTATGCAATTTTTCCAACATCTTATGGTAAA